CCCGCTTCTGCGAAGAATTCCGCTCCTGCGAGGAAGTATCCGCTTCTGCGAAGCCCAGCCCACAGTCCACTTTCACTTCTGCGATCCTACTACCACATATGTGGTCACAAAGGTGCGGGAAAAGCATCGCACCTGCGACCATCTGCTGCCTTGCCTCAAGTTCCGCACTAGCGCTGCCCTTTCTGCCTATGTGAGCTCGCACCTACGGTTCCCACTCCCAGGTGAGATTACACAAGCAGGAACAACACTTCAACTATCATTCAACATCATACTTTGATCCGTTAACCACCCGAAATCAACCCGAGGCCCCAGGGACCTCAACCAAACATACCAACAAGTCTTATAATCCAATACGAATTTAGTTGAATCCTCAAATCACCTCAAACAACCTCCAAAATACGAATTACATCCGAATTCAAGCCTAATGAACTTCAAAATTTTCAAATTCTACAAACGACGCCGAAACCTATCCAATCATTTCCTATTGACCTCAAATTTTGCACACACGTCACAAATAAAATCACGAACCTACTATAATCCCCAAAAATCCAATCCGACCCCGATATCAAAATTTTCACTCTTGATCAAATTTGCCAAAAAATCCAATTTTCGCCATTTCAAGCCAAATTCTACTACGGACCTCCAAATCAGAATCCAGACGCGCTTCTAAGTCCAAAATCACCTAACGGAGCTAACGAAATCATCAAAATTCAAATCCAAGGTCGTTTGCACATAAGTCAACATCCGGTCAACTTTTCCAACATAAGCTTTTAAATAAGAGACTAAGTATCTCAATTCATTCTGAAATCACTTCGGACCCGAACCAACTAACCCTATAAATCATAATACATCTGTAGAACACAAAAGAAGCAGAAAATAGGGAAACGTGGCTACAACTCTCGAAACGACCGATCAGGTCGTTACATTTATTTACCTCATATTCTTGTTCGAAATGAAATAAATGACACCCTAACACTATAATACCAGTTTTATAATGAGAGGTGTTTTACACACGAGCCACTACATTTCCACATCAGCGCCACATTATATTCGAACAGGGAGCCTTGACGTAACTGGTAAAGTTGGTCACATGTTCGAGCCGTAAAAACAGCTTCTTGCAGAAATATAAGTAAAATTGCGTACAATAGACTCTTTTTGTCTAATCCTTCCTCGGATCCCGCGTATAGCGGGAGTTTAGTGTACCAGACTGTCTTTTAGTTTTGCACAATATTCCAACTCGGAGTCTTGACGTAACTGGTAAAGTTGGTCACATGTTCGAGTCGTAAAAATAATCTCTTGCAGAAATACAGGTAAAACTGCATACAATAGACCCTTCTGGTCAGATCTTTCCCCGAATCCCGCGTATAGCGTGAGCTTAATATACCTAGCTGCCTTTTAGTTTTGCACAATATTCATACTTAAGAGGATGGAGGTGTGTCCATGTTTATTTTGTTTTGTACTGTATCCTTTTCCTGTTATTTGATTATATGAGATTTATATGCAAGTATAAAATATAAAGAAATTCTAATATTTTTTTATTTTAATTTTATTTTATAATAATTTTGGATGAGATGAGCTTAAATGGAGTGACATGGTTTGCTAGCTTTTGATCATTTATTAAGTGCAAGTGTAATAGTTAAAGGTTGCAAAGCTTATAACAGACAAGGGAATTTCTTAGGTTGGTGGTAACTGGACTGTGAAGGAGAGAATCTTTTCTGGCCACAATAAATAATAAGTATATCCTTTCTCTCTTTTCTTATGTCATGGAATTGTTGTATACAGTAGGTGTACAGGTTGTTTTAAATAATTAAGTTAAGTCAATTACAATTTGCTTGTTTAGTTGTCAATGTTCCATAGTGCTCACTATTTGCAACTACTTCTAGACCTAGTTTTTTAGCCGGGAGTCTATCGAAACAGGTTCTTTGCCCTCCAGATAATGGGTAAGGTCTGTGTACACACTACCGTCCCCAGACTCCACTCGTGAAAACTCAATGAGTTTGTTGTTTTTTGTTTGGTTGGGGATTTGTGGGGAAGGGGGCAGGGTTTGTGTTGGTGTTTTGAATGTATCACTAATTGTTTGTGTTTTAATATTTTCAAATGATTGGTTAGCTTGTGGAAATCTTATTTAAGTAACAGAACTCATGTTCCAATTAACAGAAAGTTGCAAACTGTTAACTTAAACCGTGACGAATGTAGTTTCTGGTTTCTCTATACCTCATTTCATCATTAGATGATTAGTTACTGCCTCTGTTAACAGAAACTGATTAGAAGTTTTCAACAAATAGTTTTTATCTTGTGTAGCTGCCTATGTCCTTTCTTTCTTAACAGAGAGAACAATAAATCTTAGGTTCTGTCTTGAATGTTTAACCAAAATTATTACTACAAATCTGCTAATTGACAGATATCTAGATTAACAATGTATCAAGATATGCCCTTTGCACTTGGATTTTTTAGCTTAAATTAGTTTTTATTTCTGCCTTGTGAATGGTTGGTTCACTAGATTATTGTCTTGGTCAGTAGTTGAAATTTATATTATTTCACCCTTTTATATGGTATAGCATCCCACATTTTTAATCAACTTAAACAATTTCTTTCATAGATCTCTGTGTTTGAGCATCGGAACTTGTTGGAGTAGCAGCAGATGGCTGTTTTAGGCTGCCTAAGGGTCTGAAAATGGATATGTAAATGTATCTCTTATTTTCCATAAGTTGGAAGATGCATTTGAGGACATACAGTTTTGGGCAAAAAGGTTTGATCCAGTTCTATGTTACCCGGGAAGAAAGAAGAAAAACGCATTTCGTCGGCTGGGCTTGGATCCATTAATTTATATGATTTGATAGTATAAAATAATTTTACTTATTAAAACATGAATCATATGTATTTTACTTATTGGGGGGGNTTTTCAATTTATATGCATTGATAATATAAAATAATTTTACTTATTTAAACCGTCATGAATATTTTACTTGTGGGCAGGGGGCTGGTGTCACCATTGACGAGCAGATGCCATTGTTTCATGTCTCTTTTTACTCCAAAAATCTTGGCAAAAAATATAAAGAATCCAAAATATTCAATCTAAAGAAATTTTGGACTGTAGTGTAAGTGGAGATCATCGACCATATATTAAAGTAGGTATCATGGGAGTATATAATTGTCTGTATAGATGTCTCCAACAACATGGACGGTAGTTACTTGTCATTTTAGTTATTTATTTATAGATTTAAGTTAAATATACTGAGAATATTAAAATAAAATTGAGTATTAATGTTTTGTATTTGGAGCTTTATTTATTTTATAATAGTATAAATAGATAGAGGGATAAATTAGTTATTAATGGGAGATTATTGTGAGTAAATTAATTAACATGAAAGGATATGATTAAAGAGATTAACAATTAAGGAGCACGCACTATAGAATCCACATATCTATTATACTTATTTAATTTGAGCAATTATTAATATATGAACATGAAAAGATAAAACTAAAAAACAAAAATGGAAAAATCACCTTCACATGTTTGGAAGAATTGTATCATTGGTTTGACCTAAGAATCTACTCCATTTTAATGCTTTAAACTTGAAAAATTAAACCACCCATAAAAGTTTGTAAAAACCGTGTTGTCAGAGTAATTGTAGTAATAGTCTTTTTGGAGATTTGGGACCAGTGCTTTAGGACCTTCTTTCTCAATTAATTGCATAGATTATTTTCAAATATCTGTAGGACCATACGTATTCTACTAATTAAGTCTTTATCAAGTAATTCCAACAATTAAATCATATTTATAAAGTAATTTCAAGTAAATATTTGTGATAGGTATTGAATTGATTGTAACCTAATAAAATTATGAGTAAATTATTACAATAAATTAAATTACATTAATAGCGTAAATGAAAAACTTTTAGGTTTCTCCTTGCTACAACTGAACGAAGCTTTGCTTTGGCTTAGACCATCTCCAATCATGCGTCAATTTTTATGCCAAATGCTATATCGGTGTAATATTTGATGTTTTGGTGCTCCAACCCAATGCCATTTCTTACACCATTTTGGTATGGACTATATCAAGTATATGCGTGTAATCTTCTATTTAATTAAGATTATGTTACCTATAGCTAATGAAAATGTCATTAGTCGTGGTGTAGGGGAAGGGGAGTACTTCACACTGTGTGGGTGGGGGAGAGAGATAAGGTAAGAGTTTTTTTAGGGGCAAAGATACAGTTAGCCCTTTCAAAAAAAATAATTCAAATACATATATATACTGTTTTTGCAAATATATTGACGGCTAATCCTCACAGAGTAACAAAAGTTAAAGCAATTGCATTGATCAGATTTTTAAATCGTAAACTCTTAGAGTCAACACGTAATGGAAAAAACAAAAAAAGATTATGAATAGATTCCTTAATTTTTTTAAAAAAGAAAGAAAAATGTTCCTTGTTTTCTGCAATGTTTATTGTCCCCGCAAACAAACAAAAGAAAATAGGGGGGGCACTGTATATGGTCCCGCGTCCTGTAACGCGCTTTTTTTCCTATATATATCATCAAATCAAGCGACTCTTCTTTACAATAATCTTCTTCTGTCTTCGTCTTCTTCTTTTTAATTATCCTCGTCGATCTAATTTCCTAAGTGCTAAATATTTTTGTTTTGTACGTGCAGGTAAGTCAATTGAAAGCTCATCAGATCAATGGCGGATCCGCTGATCCTCACATTTTTTGCAGCGATAATAGCTCTCTTCGTTGCCTTGCTACATCTCAAATTTCAAGGTAGCCAACAAAATGTGTTTCAAAAGCATTACATCATCATCCGAATAGCTGTAGGTGCTTTGGTGCCTCTTTGGAATCAAAGTGAAATGTCCTGGGGTATATCAAGCATATGCGCGTAATCTTCCATTTGATCTAGAATTTTGCGCTTTCTTTCAATTGCAAGCACTGGCTCGCTGCTGTTGTCGGAGTCTCCTATGCCGCTTGTGTTTTTCCTCTACCTGATTCCTTATGTGAAGATCCTTTATTGGGTTTTCAACAAGTTGGAAGATGCATTTGAGGATAGGCCGGCGGTTTTGGGCAAAAAGGGTAGATCCAGTTCTGTGCTAGCTGGTAAGGAGGAAGAAAAATATATTTCGTCGACTAGGCTTGGATTCATTACTTCCTTTATACAAGAGCAAGCTAATTTAATTACCGTCCTCTTTTTTTTTTTACACTTTTTATTTTTTTAGATATATAGAAGAGATTGAGAGTAGAGGCACAGGCGCTAAGTGTTTTGTTCAGCTTTGTATTTAGGCCTAAGGCCCGACTCTCCTTTTTTAAATTTTTTGTTGATGTTATTATCTGATATATTTATAAAAAATCTCCTTAGTAATAATCAGACCGAGTCTACATATCTATCTCTTAATGATAGCACCAGCTGAGAATTCCACCTTAGGCTTTACCTAGCATTACTTTGACATTACCGTGGATCAATTTTTGTGACACCTTGCTCGAGCTTCAACCTATTCCTAAGAGTATAATTGTTTGTTGGAACGTGCCGAAGTCAGTAATCAGGGGCGGTTCAATGATATTTATGGCCTAAAACCAAAGTTTATCGAGATATCTTAATTTTTTAATATATATATAAGTACCCTTAACTTTATAAGAACTCCATAGTGAGAGGGCCTTTTTGTCTTTTCTAAATTAAAATTAGAAAATCTGATATTTCTCTTCCCTCATCTCTCTAGCTCTCTTCCATCTCGTTTAGGCCTTCTTTTCTCTCTTCTCCTTACTTTTTTTCTTTCTCTTGGTAAGATTCAACCCACCAAATTAAAGGTCTCTTTCATGTGGGTCATTTGCCAGAATAGTAGAAAAAATATTCAGTTTCATATGGCACAAATTCTCCAAAAAGTATTTTATTCTACCAATAGGCTATTCTATTCCCTAAACACATATTTACTTTATGCTAGCTACTAACCCTCGTATGAACAAGCTATTCAAACAAATATTCCAAGGTAATGTATCACAAGGCAGAGACGGATCTAGGATTTAAACTCTATGAGTTCAAGTTATAAGGTTTTTAGAATTGAACCCGTTATATTTTTAAAGTTATTGGTTCATATCTACTATTTTGTATTTTTAATGAATTTTTGTATATAAATTTTTACTAAACGTAAAAAATTATGGGTTCAATTGAACTCTACACTACATCCGCCACTGCGACAAGGTGCCAACATGCTTAACTTGATCTCAATCCATTATTGAATTTTATTATTGAACGATAGTGGAGCAAAATTCTTGAGGCCTAAGTCTCCATATATAAGCTCGAGAATTCTTCTTTCTGTCTTCAAAAAAACACCCCTTTGTCTTCATTGTACCTCCTCCTCCTCCTTCTCCTTCTTGTTTCCTAGCTGCTAAATATTTTTGTGTCGTAGATGCAGGTAATTCAATTGAAAGCTCATCAATGGCGGAACCGGTGATCATCACATTTTCTGCCGCGATAATAGCATTTTTCCTTGGCTGGCTACAACTCAAATTTCAAGACAGCCATCAGAATCTATTTCAAGAGCATTCCACCATCGTCTCAATAGTTGTAGGCTCTTTGGTGATGTTGTGGTACCTCTTTGTAATTTACGTGAAATGTGCTAGACTATGTCAAGTATATGCGCGTAATCTTCCATTTGATGTGGATTTTTTCGCCTTTCTTTCAATTGCAAGCACTTGCTCGCTGTTGTTGCCGCACTCCCTTGTGTTTGTTCTCTACCTAAGTCCTTCTGTGAAGATCCTCTATTGGGTTTTCGACAAGTTGGAAGATGCATTTGAGGACAAGCAGTTTTGGGCAAAAAGGTTTGATCCAGTTCTGTCACGACCCAAAATCCCACTGCAAACGTCGCGATGATACTTAGTCTCTAAGACTAAGTAAGCCGATTATAATTTCAATTCAAGCCAATTTTTTTTTAAACATATAATTAAATACTAATGTCAAAACAAACATCGAAAATAATTACAAACAACCTCCCGAGACTGGTAATACTGAGACACGAACTCTAACTGAATACATGAAATGATCTCAAGGATCAAATACTCAATACTGTTTGATTAATAATTTAGTACAATAAAAATGGAAAGACTCCAAGAGACTGTGACGACCAAGCAGCTCTACCTTAAATCCTTGCGATCACACTCTAACTCTGTCCAAATCCGATATCTTCAATACCTGGCTCTGCACAAAAATGTGCAGAAGTGTAGTATGAGTACACCAAAGTCGGTACCCAGTAAGTATCAAGACTAAGCTCAGTAGAGTAGTGACGAGGTACAGTCAAGACACTCACTAGTCTAATAACCTGTACAATATAGTATACAAAAATAATCCAAATAAACAAATAAAATTATTATCAAGGAAATGCAATAGAGACATTAATACGGTAGATACGAAATAGCAATAGTAAAACCATATCCAAATAGAAAGTATTATGACAATAATCATATGATATAATATCTAATGGGTAGAGAATTAAACTTATTACTATTGACATATGGATAATGGACTAAATATAAAGTATACAAATTTTGGATTTTCGGATATCCAAAATCCGAAGTACCAAAATCCAATATCCAAAAATTTTAAAAATTAAATCCAAAATCCAATCTGTAATCCGAAAATCCAAACCAAAAATCCAAAATATTAAAATTTCGATTTGGATTTCGGGTTTGCCCAAACCATGCCCGCAACCAAACCCCTCTCTTGAGTCTTTATATCCAACCACCACTCACATCTTATACAGCAAAAGTTCATATTGAAGACATATTATAATATAAGCCTTAATATTTGTAATAAGTTTCTTCAGCATTTCAAATATATANATTTTATTTCCAGTTACGTTAATCAGCTAATTATTTGAATTGGTCAGGCCACCGCATAAATTGTTGGAATATTTTGATGATCCACATACAGGAAATAGCATGGTTGGATGGGAAAAAAATAATTAAAATGGTTTCACTTATAAACTGAGTTTACCGGGTGTAATTTCTACGGTACTAGAGAATTGGGAGTCATAAATTGCATTATGTAATTACGATTTATAGGACTCATTCGATAATAACGATTTGTAATTCGAATTTTGTGCTTTATAAAGTATTCTTCTATTACGATTTTTACTGGTAAGTGCGACTTAGAATGACAATTTGTATTTCTAGTTGCGATTTATAAATCTCAATTGCTATTTGCGATTATAGATAGTATTTGCTATTTGCAATTTATAGAGCACATTTGGTAATGCAATTTATTGCTAATTGTGATTTATTAAGTTAACTACGATTTACGAATTGGATTTTCTAGCCTTTATTCGCGTTTGGAACTGACTACACTCTACTAATCATATACGAGAATTAATCTTAAAGTAGAGCTCCATTTTATAATTGTAAGATATTAATTGCCATACATGTGTTGCATTTGGTCATTGCGATTTGTAAATCACATTTTTGTAATTGCTATATATAAATGCTCATTGCTAATTCCTATTTGCTATTTATAAATTGGATTTGGTAGAGTTTGGACTGACTACACTTTACTATTCATGCAATCTTGCACGTTGAAGAAGGAACAACAAAAGGCATTTTCTTATCTAAAAGAAATATAACTGTCCCATTGGACCCATTCTAGGGACCCGTTTGTCCATAGAGTTTGAAAATTTTATTTAAAATTGAAATTTTACAAGTTTTTTGAGATTTTTGAAAATGAGATGTTCAAAAACCAAAAAGTTGTTTTGACCACTTTTTCAAAATTTTCAGAAAAACTTTTTTCCCATGTCCAAACGTAATTTCAAAATTCAAATACTATTTTTCAACTTAACTCCAAATGATGTTTTTTTCTATCAAGTACAATTTTTATGTCCAAACTCAACTCCAAATGATGTTTTTTTTTCCCAACAAGTACATTTTTTATGTCCAAATGCCTACTATGTTTAAGAACTTTAAATATAGCACCCCATCATTGGAGTTTGTTTTAGTAGATGAAGTGCCACACTTGTATTGAAGCAAAAATCAGAGGCAGATTCAGGATTTAAATTCTATGAGTTTAATATTTAAGATTCTTAGTATTGAACTCATTATAATTTTAAACGCGTTCGTATCTACTAGTATTTCTTATAATGTTAATGATTTTTTACACAATTTATGTCCCGCCTCGAAAGTTATGGGTTCAGTTGAATCCGTAACTATAATGCTACATCCGCCCCCGACAAAAATGCACAACCAATGATACATATATTAATCATAATAAGGAAAAAAGTTGTAGGAATAGGTCTTATTATACATAAAGAAGTAAACAGGCCAAGAGAATTATTTATCTGGTCCTGAATATCACATCAGTACCTACACCAAATGCTGCAGAAGAACACATAAAAAGCAATAGAAGGAACAAACTAAACTAAGACCTCAAACCAGATGTAATGTCTTAGCTTCCAATAACTTACAACATACTATCTGTCCGAGCTGGCAGCCGGCGGAAGAAGTTGATTGGCACAGAAGGCAGCCTATGGCGAAATCTCGGATGTCTCATCATATAGATGCCTATAAGAGCTGCAATTACCTGGAATGGCGTTACGTACAAGACCAATGCAGCTATAAGGCAAAATGTGACAAATAAGGCTGTGGCACGTGGATCGCGCCAACTCAGCAGTGACTGGAATCGCTCGCCTTGTGTTGCAACGTCACCAACGACTGTTTGAATTCGTCCAGCTACACTCCTTAGTCGATCATATCTCATTCGTACCAGTTCAGGGCCACGGCTAGTTGGGAATGTGTCAAACTCTTCATCAAGCTCGTCCGGGTGCACTGATTCGGCTTGTGATAACTTTGTGTTCATGTGAGGAGGATACCTAGGCCGGTAACGGTAATTCCACACTCCTATTAGAAACATGTAAAGGAAAACAGTTGGTAAAATAAGCTCTGGAAATGACACTAGCATAAGAAAGAGGACGTGCACGAGGACTGTTGTGATCGGGTTCTTCCACAAGCAGATGTCTCCGAACCATTTGCCAACAGCAAATAATCCTGTGAAAATTGACATCAGACGGAAAAAGTTCGCCTTGCTACGCCTCATGCTCCAAAGGTGTGAGTCTACATCAGACATGTATTCCACCACTTCCTTTCTCAGCGGGGGTTCTGCTCGTCCCAACCGCATGGCTACTATGTTGACTGCCTGGTGTCGTAGCATGTCAAGTTGCATGACAGTGAAAGGCCTTACATAATGCATTTTCGGCAAAAGAGGACATGAGTATTTGTAAAGCATGTTCGCAAATGATGTGCATGTAAAACGGATTGCCAGGTGCAATTCTCCCATCTTCTTAACACCAGTAGGGTGAAGAACCAGCAATGGATATGAATGTGTGTAAACTCTGCCTGTTTCAAGTGTCGAGATACGAATTCTAACCTTCCCAACTTTTAGATCTTTGGTACCATTTGAACCTTTGTCTCCCAGATGGCTGTTATCAAACACGCCAACGGTGAGAACTGTAGCTGGATCGAATACCTCCCAAGTGTATTGCTCATTGTACTTGGGACAGAGGTTATCAACAATTGTTCGAGTTCGAACCCATTTGTGACCATATTTTGCAACACAATATGTATCCGATGTGCCTTTGCCATCTCGTGTTTTCATAGGATGAAGTCCCACAGCATTTAAGACTCCAAGTTCCAGAACACCAATTGGTGGCCTCCACAGCTGTTTTGCTGTCGGGCGAAGATCACTACTATAATGAGTGGATTCGTCAAGGACATGATAGCCTCCATCGAGACAGACTCGGAGATGAAGTCTGCTTGAGAATTTCTCCTTCTTAAGCTGATCAATATCAATGGCCACCGGCTTTTCCAGGTTAAACCAACGAGAATGAATCATTTTATCATCAGCACGCTTCTCTACCATGCTTAAAGGGATTATGACTCTCCCAATGATCTCATCTTTTCCTGGAGCCACACGATCCTCGACTGTGAGGACGAGGTTGTCTTCAAATGGTTCAGCAGCAACAAACAGGAGATCTTCATTCCAAAGAGGATTGAATGTTCGAGCCTGAACTGGCTTAGTTTTCAAAACTTGGTTTCCTATTTGTACCTTCACATAAGCGTCTGGGAAACGAGTTTTCTCTGTCGGAAGCAAGTCTTGTGCCTCAACAACATTAACACGGACATACCATAACCGGGGTGCATGATACACTTTTGAACGTATAAGAGTGGATGCAGCTGTGTCAACAGATAGAGCTGCATCAGAATGCCACGCATCAGGAAACGCTTCATCCGCTTGAGTACCGATCCAGACAGCAAGCATGAGCTCCCCCTTTATCTTCTCTCCTTTCTTATCTGCGAGCCGATACCACTCTGGAGCTAGTGGACTATCTGGCGGCACACGCATTGGGACTTCATTGAGGTCAAATCTGCAAAGGCCTACAAAATCATCTTTGAGAAGATCCTTGTCCTTGACTACGACTTCAAGCACAGACGCCTGCATCCTCTCCCTAGTAAAGGCAAATACTACATTCCACAAAGGATTTTGACTTTTTTCAATGTGCTTCGTAATTCCTTTGTAATTCCCAATCCTAACCTCAACATATGGATCCACACTCCCCGTAACATCCATTGCAGGAAGCTCACGAGCCTTAACAACTCTAACAAAAAGGAAGTGCATCTTCTCAACAAGATCATACGTACAACCAGACATCCTGTCTGTACGAATAACACGACCACCCACAACTCGGCCCCCTCCAAGGAATGGGCTTGTTTCCTTAAGTGCATAGTCAACGGGCTGTGCCATTGTCGCAGAATGCATCCGGACGAGCTGGGGTGGAGGCTGTGGTTCCGGAACCTTCATATCCTCAGTCATATATCTTGTTCCTTGAGGATACA